TGGAGTCGCGCTGTCCTGGCTAAGCCGTCGCCATGGGTCAGTCTGGGCTGCCGCTTCCTTGCGCCGCGTTAGGAGGGTTTGTGTTTTTTGGTCAGTCTTTGCAGTATCTGCCTGACCGCACCTCGAACAGACGACCTCCGCAGCTGCCGCCGTCGTCCCTGCATCACTGGGGTTGGAGAGGATCCCGCTAAGGCCTTCCTGTAGCTCCTTCATCCTGCAGAACATCCTCTTCATTTTGAGGTTGATGCTCCTCACCTGTTTCTCGTGCGTTTGCTGGATTATGTCCTCCAATATCGCCTCTAACTCCGCCAGCATGCTGGAGCAAGGCTTCTCTGTTGACGCTCTCGTCCTCTTGGCTGGAGTCGATCTCTGGGGCTCTGATGGACTGGATTGTTCCCTCGTCCTTTTTGGGGTCTCCTTGTCTTCACCCGCGGGAACACCGCCTGTTGGCATCGCTGTGCTCCGCGTTGCCTGCAGAATGGGTGACCGCAGGATTTTGGAGCTGCTCAGAAACGCTGAGGATTGCTCCGCACTTTGTTGGCTTGTCGCTTTTACTGCCGGGGCGGCCAAGCTAGCCACCGCCTCGTCAGTCGTGGGTTGAATGGTGTTTGGGGCCTCCAGAATCCGTGCCCCGACCGTGGGTTTCCCCACGGGTGGATTTCCACTTGAGTGGTTGCCACCTGGAGTATTTGTGTTTTAATCCATCATTCTTCCAGTTGTGCTTTTTATACCTACTGCCAGGTTTGCATTTTATACCTTCTGCCAGGTTGGGGTTTGCTGCCGGCCACTATGGCTCAGACGCAGACCCCGTAGCCGCCCATTGTGGGACAGACGCTACGAGGATTTGGAGTGGGAAGAAGAAGGGGGAGGGTGGGCATGATCCATCCGGGCTACGATGGGGGATATACCGCCCCTGCTCGGTCGCCATTGCCCCGTTTCCAGAGTGCACCGCCGCGGCGGAGGGGTTGGACAATGGTCGGGTCCATGACCTTGTGCACTGCTCCTAGGATCCCGCCCGCCCTCATAAGCGCGCTATGGAAATTTCTCCTGGTGCCGCCCTCTGCGGGTGGCGTTAGCAGCGACGATACGGCGCCAAGTGGCGCCCTCTTCAGGTACTACCGTTTTGGTCGGAGCTGGTCACACTGCCGGTCAGCTGTGATCAGCTGGTACTGCGATCCGCATCACTGACCAGCACAACCCAATTTGGGCGAATTTGCAACGCGGGAAAAGCGATGCCACCAAAAGAGAGGGAGAAAGCTTACCCTGCCCCCCCCTGTCCAGCGACGTCGGATTATTGCTCCGGGGCCAGCGAGCCGGGAAAACGGAGCCACTGGGAACCCTTCGTTCCTGCATCCCAGGTGAGCCATGATATGTGCCCAGGGGTTCACAAACTTGTTTTTTAGGCCCCGCGAGGCCGGAAGACTGCGCGATCAGCGGGACGCGGCACAACCACGTCCGTCTCGTTCAACCTTCACTTCACTTCCCTAATTTTTTACCAGTGACAAAAAGTGTGTGTTTAAAAATATATGAAATAATTTTTGATACATATATTTTGGTAAGTCTATTCCCCTAAAAGCGTCCTTTAATATAAGATTTATGAAGGAGGAATTTAATCCTTCGTAAATTTCTTATTGTTTACTTTTTTACAATTTAATTTGAATTTTTTAAACAGCACCCAAAAAATGCCACGTGTTTCACGCACATCCCAGGAGCAACGCCGCCAAGCTGCTTTAAACCGCAGCAGAGCCCGCTATCAACAAAATGCGGTGCAAATAAGAAACAGGAACTCGCAACACATCGCCAATGTACGCGCACGCAACCCAGACCTACGGGAGGAAAGTCGTGCGCAGGATTCCGCAGCACGGGCTCAGAGGAGACGCAGCGAAAGGATTTGCACTCTAGAGCGCCTTCATGATACTGAAGCACATGCTGATCGGCGGCTGGATCATCAATTGCGTGTTCCAGAGAGGATTCGGGACATGGAAGCACGTGCGAACCGTCGGATTATTCCGGAGTACCGAAATCCGGAACGGGTTCGGGACGCCGCAGCGCGTGCTATTCGTCGAGAGGACTCCGAGCAGCGGCGACAAGAGCAGGTGCAAAACACTGCTGATCATGCGACACGGAGGACTATTCCGTAGTACCGAAATCCGGAACGGGTTCGAGACGCCACAGCGCGTGCTATTCGTCGAGAGGACTCCGAGCAGCGGCGACAAGAGCAGGTGCAAAACACTGCTGATCATGCGACACGGAGGACTATTCCGGAGTACCGAAATCCGGAACGGGTTCGAGACGCCGCAGCGCGTGCTATTCGTCGAGAGGACTCCGAGGAGCGGCGACAAGAGCAGGTGGAAAATACTGCTGATCATGCGACACGGAGGACTATTCCGGAGTACCGAAATCCGGAACGGGTTCGAGACGCCGCAGCGCGTGCTATTCGTCGAGAGGACTCCGAGGAGCGGCGACAAGAGCAGGTGCAAAACACTGCTGATCATGCGACACGGAGGACTATTCCGGAGTACCGAAATCCGGAACGGGTTCGAGACGCCGCAGCGCGTGCTATTCGTCGAGAGGACTCCGAGGAGCGGCGACAAGAGCAGGTGCAAAATACTGCTGACCATGCCTCTCGGAGGACCAATCCCGAATTTCGAATTCAAGAGCGGATTCGGGACGCTGAAGCGCGAGCAACTCATCGCGAGGACCCAGAAGAACGTGCAAGGGAACAGGAAAGGAACACTGGAGAGCACCGACAGCGACGAAGGGATCCGGAAAACAGGCAGCGAGAACGGGAAAGGGACGCCGATTACAGGAGAGGAACCAGGAGAAACCCCATCGCAAGAACCCAGGAGCAACGGATAAACACATCACAACGCCGGGAAACACGACAACAGCGGAGGATTCGGGAACAACAAATTCGACTAATGGCAGAGGAAAGATTAATAAACTTCAGGATGGACCCCCAAAATCGACTGGATGCCTCCCAAAGGCAGTCGCAACGCAATATGGACGCAAGAGCTCAACTTTCGGAGGACGAACTGGATCAGGAACGAGAACAACAGCGAAATAGGATTCGAGCAACAGCAAGGGATCTTTATCACAGGAACATAAAGGAAGGACCAACGGAAATTTGTATTTGCTGTGGAGGAACATGGTTCCGTTCGCAGGTAAGTGGATTATACATCCTGGCTATCTCCTCTAAATTTCCCCTCCTAAACGTTGGCAACGCTTTTTATTTGTCACGAAAATTTCCTAGTCCGTCCGGTAAATATAACTTTTGCCATACTTGTCGTCGTGCCATCTCTCTTGGCAAACTCCCGTCACTCTGCCTTTCCAATGGGTTCGACTTCCCAGAAATTCCTGAGTGCTTAAATGGACTCACCTGCCTCGAAGAACGCCTTATTTCACCGAGAATTCCTTTTATGAGGATTATTTCCCTCGGGTATGAAAGACAATGCGGGATCAGAGGGGCAGTGGTGAATGTTCCAATTTCAGTTCCCGATATTGTGACTGCGCTTCCGCGCTCTTTTGACTCTACCCATGTCATCCAAGTCCATTTAAAAAGGAGACTAGAGTACGCACACAATTTCATGACTGAAACTATTCGACACGCTCGGGTCCTTGAAGCTGTACGGTACTTAGTGAATACCGAGCTCTACAGAAAGCACAACATTTCACTGAACGAATCATGGGTAACAGAACTTCAAGGAATTAATGAAATTCCTTTTATTGCGGACGAATCTGATCGCGAAGCAGTAGAGCAACTTCTTCAGCAGCAACACCTATCCCTAAATGCTGCAGAGCTCGAAGAAAATTTAAATCCCGGAGGCCATGAAACATTATTGGAAAATAATGATACTGCTATTCAGCGAATTGCATTGGCACCGGGTGAAGGCCGTCGCCCAACATGCTTAACGCTTGACGAAGACGCAGAGGAACTTTCCTTTCCAACTATTTATTGCGGGGAAATATTTAAAGGAAATACAACCTATGCGAAAAAAGCCAGATCCCAAATCCGTTTTTACGACCGTCGTTGCGCTGTAGTTCCTAAAGTTTTATACATGTATAAATTTTACGAAATGCAGCGCATTCAAAATTCTATATCAATTGCTTTACGCAAAAAGTCAGGTGCAGTTACCGCTGGTAATCTGCGGGATGAGTCATTTGTTGACAGACTTGTGCAACATGATGATGGCTACCACATCCTTAAAGGGTTACGGTCTGCACCAGCTCATTGGGAGGCTGAAAAAAAAAAGGTTATAGCTATGATTCGACAATTTGGGTTGCCAACATTTTTCATTACTCTTTCCGCTGCTGAAACTAAGTGGAATGAACTTTTAGTTATCCTTTCCCTTCTATTGGACAATAGGGCTATAAGCGAGGAAGAAGCGGCAGCTCTTTCCAGCTCCGAAAAGGCTCGGTTAATCCGATCCGATCCAGTGACGTGCTCCCGGTACTTCGATTATAGGTTGCGGCAATTAATGAAATTGTTCAAAACCGATATTTTTGGGGAATTCATCGAAAAAATCCTACGTGTGTCGATAGCCTTTGAGATAGCCGTTGCCGTGAGATACAGAAACTAATCAAACTTGATTATTTGCTCTAGATCAAAAATTATGGACGTTAGGTGTTCGGCCATGGACCCCCTTTAAAAAAATAGGGCCTACGAATAAGGGCTGCAGGGCCGCCATTTTAATTTCGATTTATTAAAAAAAAATTTTATTGTGTACTTTAAATATAATATAATAAAACCTCATTTACAAATTTTCGATTAGCTGTTTTGATTTGGCCAAAAAAAATTCCAGAAAATCCGTTTTTTTTGGCCTGTTACTCAGATGTCCCCCCTTAAACTTATGTTTTGTATCTGATCCTGATGGTACTTGTAGTAACCCGTAAGTTCCCCCTCAATAAGGACAGGTTATTTCCAATTTAGATTATAGAACAATTGATTTATTTAAGTAATAATCGGGTCGCGTCTGCTCCGCACGCTCGGTCAATTACAACTAACTCTCCCCCTGCTCTGTCACTCCGCTCGCGCTCTCCTTGCCATTCTCGCCGCTCTCCTGCATGACATCGCCGCTCATTGCCGGCTCCCACATCCCTCCTTTATTGACAAGTTTTAGCTTCAAGGATGGGGCAGCCAAAGGAGCCAAATCTTCTGGGGACTGTCTAAGCCGATGACCTATTCCTTCTTCGACGTCTTGGTGATCCTGAGTAGATGTCATCTTCGGTTGAGGGCTGCTTAACGATGAGGGTCCAGATGTATCCAGGTGACTTGCGTTGATTGGTATTTTCTTGAGGTGCGATACATTCCTCGTGAGAGTCCTACCCCCTGCCCTAATTTTAACTATGTTTCTGTCTTTTTCAACAACCTCGAATTCCGTATCCTTAAAGTTCGGAGTTAACTTACTAGGAAACACTACATTTTTCAAGAGTACTTTATCCCCTACGATTATCACGGCTTCCCGTGCTCCCCTCTTCTTATCTGCCTCTTCCTTTCCTTTTTCTTTTAACATACAATCCCTGTCCCTTTCGGCCGAGTCTGAAACCTTTTCATCAATATCACCTATACATGGAACCTTGTCGCGGATAACCCTATTAAACATTAGTTGGGTGGGGGCTACTCCTGTTGTGCCATGTGGAGTAACGTTGTGCATGAGTACAAATTTCTGGATTTCTTCCCTGTAATTCTTTGAATTAGAGTGTGCTATCTTTAACCGTTTGACCAAAGACCGATTCATGTTTTCCACTTCCCCATTAGCCTGGGGCCAATAGGGTGGAGTCTTCACCTGTTCTATACCGCAAGTTTTGCAGTATTCCTCGAATTCTTGACTTATATACTGCCGTCCATTGTCAGTTTTTAAGTATTTTGGGTAGCCTAATCTACAGAATATTTCCTTCATTACTTCAATTTGTGGAAATTGAACGTAAAAATTTGAACTCCATATAGCGGGAATAGTAGTCAATAAACACTATAACAAACTCGTTGTTTGGTAGGGGCCCCAATATGTCTGATGCTACCCAAATCCATGGACCTGTTGGAAATGGGTTCCTATCCATTGGTGCTGGCCTAGGGCATTGGGAGACCAGAAGACAATCTCTGCAGCGTTTGACATAGTTCTCTGCATCACGATCAATTAGAGGCCACCATACCTTGGATCGCAAACGCCTTTTCATAGCTGACTCCCCCGGGTGTCCTTCGTGAGCCAGCTCAAGCACTTGGTTCCGAAGTGATTGAGGAATAACAATTCGGTTACCTCGCAAAAGAAGGGGTCCTATTGCTGATAACTCAAATCGAAATGGGTACAGCAGTTTTAGGGATCCTGGTTTCCACGAGTCGCACTCCAGACAGGCCTTTGCATCGATAATTTCTTCGTCCTTTACCGAATGCTTTGCGATTTCCGAGATAGTCATTGATTGGGGAATGCTGTTCTCGATCACTTGTAATATGCTACAATCCATTTCTTTTTCACCAGAGTCGGATGCTGATAACGGACAAAGTCGGGATAGGGCGTCGGAGATGTTCTCTTTTCCCGCTTTGTAGACTACTTTAAAATCAAAGGACTGTAGCCGTAGCAACCATCTTTCTATGCGCGCAGGAGGTCTCGATGTCGGTTTAAAAATGGCCTCCAACGGTTTGTGATCTGTCACTAGCTCGAAATGAAGTCCTGCTAAGTAAAAGTAAAATTTCTCAACAGCCCAGACTAGAGCCAGACTTTCTTTCTCCGTTTGAGAATAACGTCTCTCAACGTCCGACAAAGCTTTACTAGCGAATGAAATAATTAAGGGGTCCGCATTTACAGAGAACTGCAACAGCACCGCTCCAAGTGCTACAGGACTGGCATCTGCTATTAGGCGAGTTCGATTTAGCGGGTTGAAGTATGCAAGGTTTGGTACTTTTTCCAGTCGATCCTTTAAGTTCCGAAAAGCATCTCTTTCTGTTTCGCCCCAGCTGAATTTCGAGTCCTTCCTCAGTAATTTTCTCAGCGGATCCGTGTAATCTGCCAGGTCTGGGATAAATTTTCCCACGTATGTCACCAAACCTAGGAAACTCCGAGTCTCTTCCTTGTTAAGTGGTTCTCGAAACATTCTAATCACATTAATTTTATCCGGGTCCACTTCGATTCCCTCGTCAGAAATAATATGACCAAGGAACTTGAGTTTGTTTGTTTTCCAGATGCACTTCTGATCGTTTAGTAAAACGCCGCTTTCTTTAAATGTGTTACAAACCTCTTTTACAGTCTTGTCATGTTCTTCTTCGCTAGCTCCAAAGATTATTACATCGTCAATATAATTCATGACATTAGTAAAGGGTGCTAATAGCTGCTCGAGGTGACGTTGGAAAATTTCTGGAGCAGAGTTAATTCCGAACATCAGCCGCTTGTACCGAAAGAGTCCTTTTGGTGTTATGAACGTCGTAATTTCTCTGCTGGCTTCGTCCAGTTCCAGCTGGTGATAAGCGTCTTTTAGGTCTAAGCGCGAAAAGTATTTTGCGTCCTTTAGCTTGGGCATAAAAGACTCAAAGGTCGGTAGTGGATAATTTTCTCGTCGAATGGCCTTATTCGCACGACGCATGTCAATGCACAGCCGAATATCGCCGTTTTCCTTAAAAGCCAGGACAATGGGGGATATCCACGAGCTCGGACCTGTAACTGATTCGATGATGTCCCGACTTAAACTCTCTTCCAGCTTAGCGGCAACTTTTTCCTCGAGTGCCACCGGGATTCTTCGAACTGGCTGCTGAATTGGAATGACTTTGGGGTCAATCCATAGCTTTATTTTAACCCCTTTCCATTTAGGGAATGGCGTGGTCATTTCCACTCGATTGACATCTAGACCTAGCCGAAGAACGTTCAGCTTAATGGCGGTCTCTCGGCCCAGTAGCGACTGCCGTCCATTTTTAATTACGAAAAATGTTGCAATCACCTCGACATTCGGCACAGCTGATATCGGCGCTTCAAAAACGTAAATTACTTCAAGTAATTGTTCAGAAGCATATCCTCGAAATTGTTTCTGAGAATGTGATCTAATGTTGAAGATTGCTGTAGGTTCCTTGTTAATCCTTGCCCAATCCGATTGACTAATAAGGTTAAATTTCGATCCAGAGTCAATAATGAGAGCAATGTTGTGACCCCCTATTTGGCAGTTTATGAGTTCTTCTTCTTCGTCGCTGTAGATCTTAAAACAATTCGCACATTCCTTCTTCCGTTTGGGATCAGCGCTCTCGTCTTCCACACAACGAATATCATTTCGGCGGCGCTTCCTATTTTCGTGTTTCGGCTGAGCATATTGTGTTGTTCTGCATTGTCGTGCAAAATGACCTATCTTGGAACATTTGTTACATTTAGCTGCTCGGGCCGGACAGGAGAAATCGCTATTTGCATGCCCCATTCGACCACATCTCGAACACTCCAGATTTGGCCTTATTTTCCGAGCAGTAATTTTATTGATTGAATCGCTAGTGATGGGTTTCGTCAGCATGGCTTCAGATTGTTTGCTTATTTGTTCCTCGACCTGGCACGCTTCAATAACTTCGTCCAAGGAGTATTCCTTACCCAAGAGTTTCTTCTTTAGCTCCAGCGGCGCCCACGAATCAATTATTTTGTCTTTTAGGCAGATTTCCTCAATCTCCACTTTAGATTGGCCGAAAGAACATTTATACATTTGTTGTCTTAGTCGTAAAATAAACTTTGAGAAATTCTCTGACTCATGTGGTGATATACTTCGAAATAGATGCCTTTCAAACGTTGAATTTTGTTTCGGCGAAAAGTAGGCATTTAATTTCTCGACCAAAACAGTGAAGACGTCGATCTCCCCGTCCTTGTCATCCTCTACCAGTGCACCCGGTAACGAGAACGCGACAGCTTGCAATTGTACTCCACCTACGTGAAGGAGTTTAGTTCTCTTCATTTTGGGTGACACGATCTGTTCAGCCTCCATCGAGATAGTGAACGCTCTAAACCATTTCTCCCATTCATTTCGAAGGACCGATTTCTCAATTGCTTCACATAGGAATGGTTTTAAATAATTTTCCGCCATCCTGAGATCGTGTTTGCTAGATTTTAGACAACGAAACAAAATTTCATTTTAGACTTGAAAGTCTGGGCTTGTTTTTACGCAGCCTCTCTTTTTTTTTATAGTTATGTATCTAGCTTACGCAAGACCAAACTCTTCCGCACAGCCTTTACTAAAAATTGTTCTTTTGGGCTTGTTTACACGCAGCCTCTTTCGACTTGTATTTACACGCAGTCGATTTATTATACTGCTTACGGAAAACAAAACTCTTCCGCACAGCCTTCCCTATGCACGTTTTCACCTGCGTACATACACAGTTACACATGCATACACATGCGGCTTGCAAAAATGTAAATCTTTCACTCAGCCCCTTTTTTTTTTAGATTAAATTTCTCTTAAGTTATCTGGCTTGTTTAAAACTCAGCCTCTCTTTATTGTTTTTTTTTTTTTCTTTTTACTTATGTTTCGTAATTTGGTTTTGCGCTGAACTTTACAAGTATAACAATTACTAATCTCATTTATGGTATACATTATGGTTCTCCTTTCCGTTCCCCTTTTTTTTTTTTGGGATGGCACTGCCATACGCAGTTTTTCGTTTTACATACATACATACGCATGTACGTTTAAATGAGATTAATTATTGCTATTTCTTGTATATATTTTTGAAAACAGTTTTACCTCGTCGAGAATGTAGTAACCCGTAAGTTCCCCCTCAATAAGGACAGGTTATTTCCAATTTAGATTATAGAACAATTGATTTATTTAAGTAATAATCGGGTCGCGTCTGCTCCGCACGCTCGGTCAATTACAACTAACTCTCCCCCTGCTCTGTCACTCCGCTCGCGCTCTCCTTGCCATTCTCGCCGCTCTCCTGCATGACGTCGCCGCTCATTGCCGGCTCCCACAGTACTGCTTTCTCAAGAGCTTTTCCCCTCTCAACCCCAGAGGATCCATAACACCCCACGCTGGAGGTATCAATCGAAACCATTCCTGGTATCGATCAGATGTCTCCACGCGTGATAAATAAGATTCGCTGTTTCCGTAATGCTGATTTTCACAAACTTAATAGCCTTATCGATACATATGACTGGTCCGATATTCTGGCATGCACTGATCTTAACGTCACTTTAGAAAAATTTTACTGTACTTTAAATAAATTTTTTGACTCCTGTATGCCATGGAAATATCCGTCCGCTTCAGCAAATCCTCCTTGGTATACAAGGAGCCTCACTAACCTAAAAAATATTAAAAATAGGCTCGTACTAAAATATAAAAAAACCTTCAGTAGTGTTGATTTTTCAAGATACATACTAGCATGGTCAAATTTTGCTACCGATGTCACTTTTTCCGAGAGCGGAAGCGGATGAAGAAGAAGAAAATTGTCATTAAAAAAGAAAATTGTCTGCTCTGCTCCGAGCTACGAAAAGTCATAGCCATAGCTATAGCAATAGCAGAAAAAAATATTCTGTGCTCCTCGTAGCCGTAGCCGTAGCCAAAAATCTAGAGCGAGAGCAGAGCAGAACAAAAAATATTTTTGTATGTGCTACAGCTCTATCGTATTTTTGTTTTTTTTTTTCTCACCTGATTTTTATGCACCGTCACTGTGTGACCACTGTGAAGGATTTTTAGGTAATAATAAATATTAAAAAGTAATAATATTTAATATTTAGTTCATTCAGAACCAACAAATAAATATTAATAACTCCTAATTAAACAAAATTAAAAAATTATGCTTTTCAGTCATGTAACGATTAATTATCGTCGTCTTCAAATACACTCAAGTTGTCGATCGCATTGTCCAAGTGTGTTGAGTTTACGCGAACAAGGAGTATATTTTTTCTAATTAAATCGTCAAAGCCAAAAATTATGATCGCCCTCCCCCAGGCCTGTATTCGCCCCGCGGTAAAACTTCACCGAGCTAGAAGATATCTTGAAAAATCTATTTTACTACAGGTTTTTTTTTATATTAAAGTAAGAGCCTGTTTTTTTTTTAATTAAGGAGAATGTTTAAGTATGTAAATACCTGTTTACGGCAATATTTATCATAAACGCAGTGCGCACAAAAAAGAGTTTGATTATATTTTTTTTTAAAGAATTCAAGTAGCAGGGGGCAAATAATCAAAAATTATACGCAGTTTCCAACAATAAACAATAATATAGTTTTATTTGAAAAACACACTGTACATTGCACATAAGGTCTAATCACAACCTCATTCAATGAATATATCTATAACTTAAATATAGCTTCAATTCTAACGCTATTCATAAATGCAAATTAATGTTAATGTGATGTACAGTAGTTGAAGTAAATTAAAATTGAACAGTAAATTAAAATTAAAGTATATTGTAATTTGAAGTAAATAAATTAATTAATTTCAATCTAAATGGCGAATTCTATTTTCCTTTTTCCTCTTTTTGAAAACTTTTCTATTACTCTCTCGATGTCAATACTGATTTCGGAATGAGTATGCAGCAATGCTAGGCCAGTTAGCCTCCCCTCACCCATAATTGTACGCAACCATGTTTTCAACCTGCGAAGAGTTGAAAAACTACGTTCTGTCGTAGCATTGCTAACCGGAAGTGTGGCCAAAATCTGGACGAGTATTCTTATAGCTGGAAACATATATGGGTCGCAATCATTTAGGGCTTCCGCTGCCGATTGTGGAATTGATGTTTCCTTACCACTCCAGAGTTTTGACCGCACTTTATACTCTACTTGCAAACTCGCACCGCTTTTTCTTAGAAAACATGTGTAACGTCTTTTTTTCAAGTGAAACGGTTTTCACAATTCTAGCCGGTAAAAGAAAATTCAAATCGAAAACTTCTAAAGTTTCTTTGGCAGTCTTTCTTGAAGATCATTCACAACGTGATTCAATAATGGCATGAATATTGCCATAATATTCTTTCTTCATTAGCCATCGGATAGTTCGCACGATGAATTTGTTTTATCGTAAAGCATAGTATTGAGTTGACGAAAATCCGCTGTCCAACGAGTGACAGCTGTCAAACTCCATATAAACAAGAATGGAAAGCTAACTTCGGGCGAAGCCGAAGTTGATATACCCTTGCAGTAAATTATGGAAAAAAAATTGACCACTGAAATTATTCTTCTGTATACTTTTATACTTTTTGTATATACTTTTTTTACTTGTATACTTTTTAATTTACCCTTTTGTATAAGGCTAATTATATCCTTTTATATAAGGATATAGCTAGTCTTTTCATAATTTTTACAATGCTATGGAAGTGATTTAACATATTCATAATAATGGGATTCAGGCAATTTTCATTTTCATTATTAAGTTTACAACCCTTTCCTTCTTAAATAGCACCCGAATTTTTATTACGAAAAAACCATGGGATTATCCCATGATGACCTTATAGCTAGGTAATGCCACCAATTGGTTCAATGAAAATCATCCTTCGTTGAATGAACACGTGCAAGGGTTTTCAATTGCGTAACAGGTAGTGCAGGTATGATTTTAGTTTATTTAGGGACTGAGTAACTTTAAAATATCAGGTATTACCTTTTTTCTGATTGGTCGAATCGGAATAATTTTATCCCTCAAATTTGGGCTGTAAATATTCGTAACGCCTAAGTTCATAACACAACAGGTATATAAAATGATCCTGACACTTTATTGCCTTGACAAAAAGGGTTAAGTTGTGTAACCTTAAAGGGTTAAGGGATTAAAGGTTCTTTTTTTTAATATTACCTAACTTGCCTATATATTGAAAAAACCACTAATCCGTGGATCAGTCTAAAAAAATTTAATCGAGTGACGACGTTACTCTGCCGGTTGAAATTCAGAAAATTGAAAGTGCCTGAAAAGTATTTTTTTGCCAGTGTTAAAGTTAAAGAGTGCAAGTTTAATTTTTTATCAGTGACAAAAAGTGTGTGTTTAAAAATATATGAAATAATTTTTGATACATATATTTTGGTAAGTCTATTCCCCTAAAAGCGTCCTTTAATATAAGATTTATGAAGGAGGAATTTAATCCTTCGTAAATTTCTTATTGTTTACTTTTTTTACAATTTAATTTGAATTTTTTTAAACAGCACCCAAAAAATGCCACGTGTTTCACGCACATCCCAGGAGCAACGCCGCCAAGCTGCTTTAAACCGCAGCAGAGCCCGCTATCAACAAAATGCGGTGCAAATAAGAAACAGGAACTCGCAACACATCGCCAATGTACGCGCACGCAAGCCAGACCTACGGGAGGAAAGTCGTGCGCAGGATTCCGCAGCACGGGCTCAGAGGAGACGCAGCGAAAGGATTTGCACTCTAGAGCGCCTTCATGATACTGAAGCACATGCTGATCGGCGGTTGGATCATCAATTGCGTGTTCCAGAGAGGATTCGGGACATGGAAGCACGTGCGAACCGTCGGATTATTCCGGAGTACCGAAATCCGGAACGGGTTCGGGACGCCGCAGCGCGTGCTATTCGTCGAGAGGACTCCGAGCAGCGGCGACAAGAGCAGGTGCAAAACACTGCTGATCATGCGACACGGAGGACTATTCCGGAGTACCGAAATCCGGAACGGGTTCGAGACGCCGCAGCGCGTGCTATTCGTCGAGAGGACTCCGAGCAACGGCGACAAGAGCAGGTGCAAAACACTGCTGATCATGCGACACGGAGGACTATTCCGGAGTACCGAAATCCGGAACGGGTTCGAAATACTGCTGACCATGCCTCTCGGAGGACCAATCCCGAATTTCGAATTCAAGAGCGGATTCGGGACGCTGAAGCGCGAGCAACTCATCGCGAGGACCCAGAAGAACGTGCAAGGGAACAGGAAAGGAACACTGGAGAGCACCGACAGCGACGAAGGGATCCGGAAAACAGGCAGCGAGAACGGGAAAGGGACGCCGATTACAGGAGAGGAACCAGGAGAAACCCCATCGCAAGAACCCAGGAGCAACGGATAAACACATCACAACGCCGGGAAACACGACAACAGCGGAGGATTCGGAAACAACAAATTCGACTAATGGCAGAGGAAAGATTAATAAACTTCAGGATGGACCCCCAAAATCGACTGGATGCCTCCCAAAGGCAGTCGCAACGCAATATGGACGCAAGAGCTCAACTTTCGGAGGACGAACTGGATCAGGAACGAGAACAACAGCGAAATAGGATTCGAGCAACAGCAAGGGATCTTTATCACAGGAACATAAAGGAAGGACCAACGAAAATTTGTATTTGCTGTGGAGGAACATGGTTCCGTTCGCAGGTAAGTGGATTATACATCCTGGCTATCTCCTCTAAATTTCCCCTCCTAAACGTTGGCAACGCTTTTTATTTGTCACGAAAATTTCCTAGTCCGTCCGGTAAATATAACTTTTGCCATACTTGTCGTCGTGCCATCTCTCTTGGCAAACTCCCGTCACTCTGCCTTTCCAATGGGTTCGACTTCCCAGAAATTCCTGAGTGCTTAAATGGACTCACCTGCCTCGAAGAACGCCTTATTTCACCGAGAATTCCTTTTATGAGGATTATTTCCCTCGGGTATGAAAGACAATGCGGGATCAGAGGGGCAGTGGTGAATGTTCCAATTTCAGTTCCCGATATTGTGACTGCGCTTCCGCGCTCTTTTGACTCTACCCATGTCATCCAAGTCCATTTAAAAAGGAGACTAGAGTACGCACACAATTTCATGACTGAAACTATTCGACCCGCTCGGGTCCTTGAAGCTGTACGGTACTTAGTGAATACCGAGCTCTACAGAAAGCACAACATTTCACTGAACGAATCATGGCTAGCAGAACTTCAAGGAATTAATGAAATTCCTTTTATTGCGGACGAATCTGATCGCGAAGCAGTAGAGCAACTTCTTCAGCAGCAACACCTATCCCTAAATGCTGCAGAGCTCGAAGAAAATTTAAATC